TTCCATCTTTCTTCTTCACGAATAACACCGAAGCTCCCCAGGGTGATGAACTAGGTCTAATGAAACCTTTGTCCAATAACTCCTGAAGTTGCATCATCAACTCCTTCATCTCCGTCGGTGCTAATCGATAAGGTGCTTTTGCTATTAGCTTTGTTCCTGGTAACAAGTCAATTCTGAACTCCACTTGTCTATCAGGTGGTAATCCAAGAAGATCTTCGGGAAATACTTCCGGATAATCACACACCACAGGAATACTCTGCATCACCTTCTTTTCCTTCTTAGCATCAATCACAAATGCTAAATATGATGTACATCCCTTGGTCAAACACTTTCTGGATTTCATTAGGGAAATGATTCCAGAATTCACTCGGCGTTTGTCCCCATACACCATAAATGATTCCTTCCCGGGCGGGTTCACTTTAACTATCTTCTTTTTGCACAATATCTTGGCATCATTGGCACTAAGCCAATCCATTCCCAACACGATGTCGAAACCATTAAGTTCGATAGGTAATAATTCTTCATGAAACTTATTCCCATTAAGGTCGATTAAGATGTTTTTCATACGATGGCTAACAGGTACAAACTTGCCACTAGCAACTTCGACTAATAAAGCATTATCTAGTCCATCAAGAGGCAATGCTAGTTTTCTACCAAATTCATGCGATATAAAGGAGTAGTTGGCTCCAGAATCAAATAAAATTTGGGCAAGCAAATTGTTAATGAGAAAGGTACCTGAAGTGACATCAACTTCATCTTTAGCAGCTTCCAGTGTCATTTGGAATGCTCTCGCCTTTGGCTTTGGCGGAATGTTGGGTCTAGCTGCCTCCTTCTTCTTCGGGCAGTCCCTCGACATGTGTCCCTCCTCACCACCACCATAACAAACTTTCTTAGTGAGGGTACATTCATTGGCATAGTGACCTGACTTTCCACACTTGTAGCATGTGGCCACTACCTCACATTTTCCATGATGCTTCTTCTTACATTTGTCGCACCATTTCGCGTCGCCTCCACTTCCCCTCGAACTAGACTTCGAGAACTTGTTTTTTTATTGGACCCTGAAGTTCCATCGAACTTCCTCTTTTCACCAACTTCTATCCTTTCCAGACCCTTTTCCTTCTGTTGGGCCTCCACATTCTTAGCTGCACGAACAACCGTTTTCAGAGTAGTTGCCATCTTGACTGTCGGACCAAAGTCGGCAAGCAGTCCATTAGAAAACCTCTCAATCTTGGAGAGTTCCGTTGGCACTAGGTACGGAAATAATTTCATTTTCTCAGTGAATGCCGTAGCATAGTCGTCTACGGCTCTACGCTCATCCTCCCCTTCTTCAAGTTTTGGAACTCATTGTTTAGATCAATCAGATCTATCTCTGAACAATATTTCACCCTTAACTGTTCCAAGAACTCCTCCCATGACATTTTCAAAGCTTCTCCTCGTGGCATAGTATTTGCCAACAACTTTCACCAACTTAATACTCCAGTCTTCAGTTGTCTGACTGCAAAGACAGTCTTCTGTTTGTTGCTACAGTCGCAACTTTCAAATACCATCTCCATTTCGGAGATCCAATCCATTATTTCAACAGGCTTTGGGCTCCCAGAAAGACTTGGCGGTTTGGCGCCCAAGAAATTTTTGTACATTCGCCCATCGTTGTTGTTTCTCCTTTCCGAATTGTTCCTTCGTTCTTCTTGAGTCCCAACTTGACTCATAATGCGACTATTGTTCCCTTCCTCCGATTGCTCGGGAATCAATTCAGGTTCCTCAATATGTATGATAGGTTCGTCCCTATTATTATGCAACATTTATCGCATCTCCTCCCTTTGTTTGGCTAACATAGCCCGAATCATGGCTTGCACCCCAGCCATTGTTATTGGTTCTGGTGATGCTGCTACAACAGGTACTTGCTCAATCACTGGCGGTTGATTCCTGTTTTCATCCGCGTTTCCAACGCCACTCCTTGTTCTCACCATTTTTGATCTACACACCGAATAAGGTGAAATTTAGATCTTTGTTCATGATAGATTTCAAATCATCCTTATCACTCCGAAAAGATTACATGCTAGTTCTAATATCGTATACGCGGGGCGTACTTCGGAAGAGTCCGGTGACTCGCCTCCGCAGTACGCGGGGCGTACAGCCTTACGCGGGGCGTAGGCCTCCGAAACGTCACTGCATGCGTCATCCGAAGTCCTCGAGTGCGAGTGTCAACATTCTTCGCTGTACGCGGGGCGTACTTCGGATGAGTCCGGTGACTCGCCTCCGGATAATACCGAGACTTAATAATTAAATTTAATTATTATTTATTTAATAAACTTCAAAAATTCATATCTTCCTCATACGAACTCCGTTTTCGACGTTCTTTATATCCACACGAAGGTGAGACTACGCTCTACAACTTTCGTTTAGACTCCATCGGCTAATTTTGACTTTATTTTTATTATTTATTTTTAATAGGCCGGGACAGAAAATTTCGTTATAAATTCATAACTTCTTCGTTTGATGTTCGTTCTCGCCTTACTTTTTATCGCTTTGATACTAACAACGAGATCTTCGAATCTCATTTAGATCACTAAGGCTAAATATCGCTCTAATGTAAATTGCACTTTTTACGTCATTCAGCGTTGCCGGTTCTGTCGCGAAACTTCGACAGGTCATAACTTCTTTGTTATAACTCGGATTTCGGCATTCTTTATATCCTCGGAAACCTTGTTTCAACTACTACAATATTATCTAAAGATATCAAGTTTATTTTATACTTAAATTTTGACGTTTATTTTTATTCTTAATTAATCACACTACATAATTAAGCAATTAAGCACAACACACATAATACTCAAATAATACACTTCTATTATTTCAAAACGGGTTACAAAGGTTAACCTAGACTATTATATCAACATTAATGACAGGCCCAGAAACACAGACGTTACATAAGATACCCATTATCTTCAGATCCGATGACATAGTCTTCAAAGTGATGCGCCCAAACTTCGTAATCTTGGGCGTAAAGAATAGGAATCTTTGTTGTTGATCCAATGATGTTTGAGATGTTGATAGTATTAGATTGAGAATCGTCCATGCTTGATCGTTTAACCTATTTGAAAGATCAGACTTGTAATATATAATATTAGGGCAAAACGAATAAATAATGAGATACGTCAATTATGGAGTGACGGCTCAATAAATATCAGTTAATGCGGAATAAACCCTAATCACTTCTTTCACAGAAGACATGTGTATGAATTACACAACCTCCCGCTCTGATACCAATTGATGGGTTATAAGAACTCTTTGATCGATTAGATCTTTGTAACAGGTAACTAATAAACGTAAAAACAGTGAAACAAAACACAAGTATGGATCTGAGTGAGTCGAATGATTAGATTACTCAACCCTCAGCAGAGCTCGACTAAGAACTTCCGTTGTAGAGGATACTAGGGTTATAAAATCAGAACGATAAACACGCATGAAAATGCTTATCTAATCGTTGCATTCAAAGATGCATGCAAGCATCTATATATAATAAACCCTAAACAAAACTCACGGATGGATAGGCCCATACCGGAGACAAAACTTGGACTAACTAATGAGCCCAAAAGACGCAACACCAAACTAATCCTAACATAACTTTATATACAATGGTTGACTAAGAAAAAAAAATAATTGAATTTTGGTTTACTTATTATAACTTTATAACACATAGTTAATTAGTGATCTGTTGTGGTTTTAACTACAAAAATAAAAACAAAATAAAAAGTAAGTTTGGAAAATGATTTGAAATCCCCATTAAATGACTAAAACCAACTATCAAAGTCCAAAGCCCAAATATAATATGTATTAATATTTCTTAGTATTTTAAAAAATATGTATCTATTATAGAATATAAATATAAATTAGTGATTTATTATTTTATAAATCTTCGTTGCGGTTCGGTTTTGATGGACCATTTTCTTGGTAAAAACCGCAGCGATCCGCAGACCTTCGGTTTTGCAAAAACAAAATCCGAAACATTGGTTTTTGCATCGGTTTCAGTTTGCTGGTTGCGATTTTATCGATTTATTTTTAGTCGGTTCGGTTTTTGTTCATCCTTACTACAGAGATGGAGATTGGATGAGAAAAAATGTAGAAGGGATGAAATGAGAAAGATGGTAGTAGTAGGGAGTAAGGTAGCACCTATTTCATTTTTATTTTTTAGTTAAAATAATATATAAATAATAGATATAAATTAAAAAAATAAATAAATAAGAACGTGGTTGTTATTTTAAGTATTATATAGAACAAATGCACAAAACCATTTCATTTTAGAGTAAATTACACGAATGGTCCCTATGGTCTGTAGTAATTTGCACGTTTGGTTCCTAATTTACTTTTTTAACTCGGAAGGTCCTTACTGTTTGTTTTTGTTACGCGTTTGGTCCCTTATATTTGTTTTTGTTACGCGCTTGGTCCCTGTCTTACCTAAAAAGACTATTATTTGAATATGGAAAAATAATGGGATAGGTAGGGTAAGGTGAGGAGAGTAGGGTTGAGAGTGTGTTTATTTAAATAAATTAAAAAATCAGGGGCAAAGTAGTCTTTTTAGGTAAGACAGGGACCAAGCGTGTAACAAAAACAAACAATATGGACATTCCGAGTTAAAAAAATAAATTAGAGACCAAACGTACAAATTACCCTAAACCATAAGGACCATTCGTGTAATTTACTCTACATTATTTTAACGACCAACCAAATTAAAGACCAAGATTATTCAAAACCATAAAGACCATTACCATAACTTACTCAAAAGCTTATAAAAATCTCCATTTTGTGTGTGCTCAAATAACAACATGATGTCAACACACAAAAATTTCCTTCATGAATGGTGTTCTAAAAAAAAAATTCTTGATGAACACGTGAATAACTATGATTAGCACGTGTCAAACATCTCCACAACAGATTCTCGACAGCCGTCGATTCTTTCAACTATAAAATCTATCAAACGGACTACACAACCTAAACGCATCTCGAGAGGCCACTGAATCATTTCTCTTGCTGTAAATACCTCACATACTATCTCCTTAACGGTTCGTCGTCATTTTTCAAATCACCGATTGGTTCACCTCCTCCGTCATACCGCCGCTTTTACTCCGGTGATGCTCGGCGACGTACTTTGTGTACCCGCAAAGCATTGGTTTCTCGGTTCTTCGTTATCTACGGGCCACTACGGTTCGGTAGCGCATCGCCGTCATGCTTCTGATAGCAGTTTTCCGATCAAACTAGTAGTTCCAGCCACCGATTGTGTCGACCGTCACTCTATAGTTAATGGGTTGAATTTCTCTGATTCCGGCGTATCCGCTTCTATATGGCATGCTATTCTTCCTGCCGGAAATGATCGAGGAAGGCACAATCCGAGCCCCGTCGGGGAAGGCTCATGGAACGTCGCCTGGGATGTCCGCCCCGCACGGTGGCTTCATCGACCTCATACGGCGTGGCTGCTTTTCGGCATTTGCGCTTACCTCGCGGCACCACCAGTGGAGTTTACGGAATCCGTTTCTGAGGCTGTGGTTGCGGAAGGCGACAACATTAATGGAATTTGTACCACCGGTGTCCTAGAAAACTCCGTCAATTACAGAGTCACAGGTATGCGATAGTTCAAATGTGACAGGTAACTTTTGGGTTTAAAGTGGCTGATTAACAATTGGCTATCATTACCTTTCCAATCAGATGAATAATATTTTAGCAATATATCGATCAACAATCAAAAAGCTAATTGGTTCTTACCCATAATACTTTTCGTTAACCATTATACCTGAATTGATTACTTTTACATCTTAATCAATACAGGGGTTACAGCAGACGGAAGATGCCTATTTCGTGCAATAGCTCATATGGTTTGCTTGAAAAACGGGGAAGAAGCTCCGGATGAAAATCGTCAAAAACTACTTGCTGATGAATTAAGAATTCAAGTAAAAGCTTTTCTAATTTTTTTTTCTTCAAACAATTGCATGATCAGTTTTCTTGAATCAAACATGTTGTCATCACCATGCAGGTCGTTAATGAGCTCATCAAGAGACAAAAAGAGGTTGAATGGTAATTTTCTTCATCATAATTTAGACATCAAGTTCACAGCTTGAACAGTTTATGGGGTTTAACAATTATGATTAATTCTTTTGTTATCTTCATAAGGTTTATCGAGGAAGACTTCGATACATATGTGAAGAGGATCCAGAAACCATTTGTATGGGGTGGAGAGCCTGAATTGTTGATGGCTTCTCATGTTCTTAAGTCAGTTCTCTATGCCATATATATTAATATATGTATCATGTTTTACTTTTCGCATTAAAAATCTGCATAAAGAAACCATTTTTTTTGCATGTGTTCTCATGGGTATAACTGTACTTTACAGGACAATAATTTCGGTGTACATGTTGGAGAGTGGGTCTAACAAGTTGTCAAAGATTGCAACTTATGGTGAAGAGTATGAAAATGGCGAACATAGTTCGATCAAGGTTTTGTTTCATGGCTATGGTCATTATGACATATTGGAAGACATGTGACTTTTGCAAGAACTTTAATTTAAGGTTCATATTCATGTCAATAGTATTCAAATAACATATGATTTTCTAAAGATCTTTTGCCATTAGTTTTATATGCTATGGTTAATTTGGTGCTAATTTATTATAAGGTAAATATCACAAAAAATACTTTTTTTACATATAAATTTGATTTTGATACCGTGTTTTTTTTTTTTTTTGTCAATTTTGACACCGTGTTATCCAATTTGTTACAATTCTGACCATTTGACCGGTTAACCAGGTTACATGCTGACGTAGCATGATGACGTGTTAGTTTTGATGACGTGACATGCTGACATGTCAAAATTGATTTTTTTTTTCTATAAAAAACACTAACTTTTCACTTTTTTTTCGATTTTGACACTAAGTTTAACTTTTTATTTCAATTTTAACACTATGTTTTTTTTGTTCCAATCGAACATCTTTTATAAAATTTTGTTCAATTTTATCTATTTTCTATTTGAAACCGTATTAATATATTTTTTTATTACATTTTTAACCGTATAAACATATTTTTTTCGTTTAAAAACCATATTTTTATTTAAATACAATGTGTTTTTTTTCATACATTCAAAGCATTAGTTATATCATGAGAATCACACTAACCATAAGCTTCTAATAAGATGTAAAAATTTGATAGGTTACAAACTTGATATCTGAGTTTTGATCGACTACACACTTCCAAACCTCCAAACACATTTTAAAGTTGCATATTTAATATAACATACAATTTTTATATAACTAATACATATTTATATATAAAAATATGGTTTGAGTGGAAAAAAAATGTATTTATACAAAACTATGGTTTTTAAATGAAAAAAAAAACATATCTATACGGTTTAAATGTATTAAAAAAATATTTATACGGTTTCAAATAGAAAATTATCAACATTGAACAAAATTGGAAAAAATGATGTTCGATTTGGAACAAAAAAACATAGTGTCAAAGTTAAAAGAAAAAAATTAAACTTAGTGTCAAAATCGAAAAAAAATGAAAACTTAGTGTTTTTTTCTGGAAAAAAAATCAATTTTGACACATCAGCATATCATGTCAGCATGCTACGTCATCAAAACTGACACGTTATCATGCCACGTCAACATGTAACCTGGTTAACCGGTCAAGTGGTCAGAATTGTAACAAATTGGAAAACACAATGTCAAAATTGATACAAAAAAAAAACACGGTGTCAAAATCGAATTTCTGTGTAAAAAAAGTGTTTTTTGTGCTACCCATAAAATAAAGATATTTTAGTAAAAAATAATGATATTTCATCAAAAAATTATCATTATTGAATATAAAAAAATGAAAAATAAATTCAACAAGATTAAATGAAAAAAATGAAAAAAAATGTGAAATAAAATTTTAACAACATATAATCAAAATTTGAACAATAAAAAGAAGAAGAAGAAGAGGTTGGAAGAGGTTGAAAGAGGCAGTACAAGTGTTGCGCCAAACAGAGCACGCGTAGAGGTTTTTGACTCAGAAGACTTCTAAAAAATAAACAACTGTGAGATGAAAAGTGTTGCGTGTATGCTGCGTCGCGCAGCAATAAGAGGTTTGAAGAGGTTTTTTTCCAAAAAAACAAACAGCACCTTAGTTAATTTGCTAATTAGTTTATTTAATGTTATACTTATAACTTAAATCAAAAAGTTTATAACTGTTTTAGATATTTATTTGTTTACTAATTTATTAAAAATGGTATTAATTTTTGTCAAGTTTGTAGAACTGGTTACCTGGTACCTGTTCGGCCGAATACCGAGTAGTGAGTACTCGAATTTGGTAATTTATGTAGAAATATTTTTAAGAAAATTATATATATATCAAAATCATAAGTTAAAACCATAAATTGAATGAAATATATAACAAAATTAGATAAATATGAATACACAAAAACTGAAAAACACATAATTATATCACTTCATTAGTAATTATTGAAAATTTAAGATATATATATATATATATATATATATATATATATATATATATATATATATATACGAAAAATGAATCTACCCTTAAAGGTATATAAGCTTAGATATCCAAACCCACCATAATACGTCGTTTTGTTTGATATATTCATTATATTTTTCTTAAATTTCAATCTATAACTTGATTTATTTTTAGGATTTTCAAAATATCACTATTATCTTTCTCTTACATCTCATCTTTTTGTTAAACACCTACTAGGCTATATATATTATAATTGAAAATGAAAATTATGTTAAAGGAAGATAAATGTGAAATTTATAAAAATCTTGGAAGTAAATAATGTTAGAAGTTGAATTATAAGAATATTGGACTATTACAATGTATATATATGATACAAAACGACATACTATGATGAATTTGGGTAGCTAAGCTTATATACCATTAAGGGTGTATTCACTTTTCCCATATATATATATATATATATATATATATATATATATATATATATATATATATATATATATATATATATATATATATATATATATCACGTGTGTGTTAAATAATAAATCATTAACTATATTATATATATTAATCGCCGAGTTGATCGAGTTTTACAAAATTGTTCAGTTCAGTAAGGACCGATCGAGGAGCACTCATGATTTTGTAACTCGCCTCGGTAAGGGGTCGAGTAGCGAGTACTTGAAGGAGTAATTAGCCAACTCGACGATTTTACAACACCGAATTTTGTACGTTGTAATATTCATGATAGAACATTCATTTTTAGTAATGAACTGGATAAGGAACAGTCTGTGCAATATGACGGTGGTCAATTTACAAAAGATTATTGAGAAAATTATGTTCGATAATATCATAAATGATGCATTTATATATTGTTTTTGAAATATGAAAGCTCATAGTGAACAAGACTAAGACATTTACTAGTATTTTTACATTATATTTGATCTTTGGAATAATATTATTAAGACAATTACAAAAATTGTCCATGTGGTTTACTAATAGTAACAAAGTTAGTCCTTATTAAATTTTTTTTGATGCAAATGCCCCTTGTGGTTTTACGAAACTTGCAAAATTAGCCCTTTTTACTAACACCGTTAGTAAAACGTTGTTAGGGACTAAATCTGTACGGGTATTTTCATCTTTTCAAATATAGAATGACTAAATTCGTGACATTTAAGAAACCACATGGACCATATTTGAAATTTGTTTGATAAAATAAATTAATTTGCATAGGCGAAAAGCTTGAACTAACGACCTTCACCCCCCTTTATTTGATCAATACCTTAGCCAATTGAGCTGATTGCTCACTTGGTTATAACACCCTAAAACTAATTTATATAATAACAAGAACGTTATATTTAAATAATAAAAAGATTACAAAAAATATTTTATTACATAAGTTTTTTTAAATAAAACAAAATGTATTTTAGTCGTATTACAAAAAAAAATATTTTTTACGAACAATTTATATGTATTTTTATGTATTTATTTTACATAAAATATATTTTTTTATTTCTTTAAAAAATAAGTTTTCATATAAAAAACTAAGTTTTCGTATATTATATTTTTTTATGTATTTGAAATAATAATAATTAACACTAATCATGACATAAAAAAATGTATAAATTCTGTTGAGCCACTAGTTCTAAAACCATTTTTTCGGTTATATGTATTAAAAACAACTTAAAAATGATGATGTTATGTATTTAAACAATTTATATGCTTCTTTTTTATGTCAAGATTACTATTAATATACGAAAACATATATTTTTTTTATATGGTCCATATCGTTTTTTTTTTTTTAATTTCAAAGACATAAAAAAATATAATAAACAAAACATATTTTTATACGAATACTTATTTTTTAAAGAAATAAAAAAAATATATATTACGCAAAACAAATACATATAAACACATACAAATTATTTGTAAACAACAATTTTTTTTTTTTTTTGCAATATCACTAAAATACTTTTTGTTTTATTTAAAAAAAAGTTATGTAAAAAAATGTTTTTTTATAATTTATTTATTATTTAAATATTGATGTTTTTGTTATTATATAAATTAGTTTTTGGGTGTTATAACCAAGTGAGCAATCAGCTCAATTGGTTAAGGTTTTGGTCAAATAAAATGGGTGAAGGTTGTGAGTTCTCCTTCTATATTTGAAAAGATGAAAATGCTCTTACAGATTTAGTCCTTAACATCGTTTTACTAACAATGTTAGTAAAAATGGACAACTCTGCAAGTTTTGCAAACCAAATGAACATTTTACATAAAAGAAATATTAACATAGACTGACTTTGTGATTTTTGATAAACCACATGAACTATTTTTGTAATTTTATCTATTATTAATAAGCCGACTGGTAAGTTAAAATTTTTTGATTTGTTTATTTTGCGTTCGTGTATAAGTCCATATAAGTTGGACGTCTAGTGAATTTGAATTTTAGATTGAATATAATATCTATATGATTGATGGATGAAGAAATATCATAGCCAGTTTAAATTTGCCATGAAACAATATCATAGTCCCTATATTTAAAACTAACCAATAAATTTGATTTTGCTATGTCAAACCCACCTTTGGTAGTTAAGTTTTCAAAAAACATTCGGTTTTATCCTTTTGTGTCTTTTGTATTAATTAAAACTAAAAGTTTTCATTTTTTCCCTATTTTTACCCTTTTAGCAGGTTATCCGGTTACTAACAAGCAATGTTCTAAATAATGTAAGGCGTGATTTGGCGGCAATGTCAAGTCTTAATCTTTTCTAAGTTGTGGCGAGCCATGTCGTTTATAAATCGTGACTTAAGGCTGTAATTTTGTATATATTTAATAATTTTATAGGTATTTTCTATTATTTTTCGTTTTTATATATACATACATGATTTAAGGCGACATTTTGTCAAAGTTTGACGGTAAGTACAAACCATGGCGGAGCCATGATGAGCTTTTTAGAACATTGCTAACAAGTCACCTATACATGGCTTGAAAAATTAAGGCTAAAACTAAATACTTTTTGAAAACTAAAGGCTTTTATGACATTATCCTAAAAACATATAAAAATGTTTT